AATATCTGACCATCCTGTGCTTCTTCGCAAAGTTTATCTCAATTGCCATTAACTAGTTCATGACAATACCTGGTTAATGACTAGTATCATATGTATTTTTCCCTGTAATAGCATTTGCCTAATAGAAAAAGAAAAGTAAAGAAAAGAAAAAACACCGTGGTTTCTTGTTCCTTCAAACATATTTGTGAATGTGCTTCTTCTGAGGAAGAAAAGCTGTGTGCCTTCCTGTCCTGACTGTGGCCCATCTCTGCCTGGTCTGAGCTTCACCTTCTCTCCCGATTACCTGGATGGATCGCTGTGTCTAATGAGGCTAAGCTGCTGCTACTCTCTTCAGTTCTTTTTTCTCTTGACCTGGACACCACACCCTCAAGGCTCCCACAGGGCTCTGGGTCACATACAGCAGTTGATCAAGCCCTGCTGAGGACAGGTAGTTCCTGCTGTGGAAGAGGAATTGGTGCAGTTCATCCTGCAGACAATCTATGGCAGCAGATCCTGGTCATCCATCATAGACATTTTCCATTGTTTAACAGATAGATTCTAATCTTCACCATTATGAACAATGACATTTTAAATAAAATGTGGCAAGATGGGAACTGTGCTTTTCAATCACAAGTGTTTTAACAGAGATGCTCTCCTTATTCAAAACCCAGCTGAAGTTCAAGGTACACACTGTGACCATGACATGCTCAGGGGTGATGGATCTTGCTCCCCTAAATTCAAAACATCATCTAACTCCTAAGAAAAGATATGCAGTTTATTCTGTTCCTTAGAGTCTTGAAATTGTCTCTTCAGTCACAAATACATTCTTCACTCACAAAGAGCACTGAGTGTCTGACATCTCTTTGGCTACAACGTTCACCATACAATAATAATCAATATATACTAACTAATGCATTGTTTAAAACTGAGGTGCTTTGATGCCTCAATAGAATCAGAAACAGGAGCCCTCCCTTTTAGGTCAATGCCTCACAGTGGAACAGACAATTTACGAATCATTTGAACTTGCTATTTTTAACAATGGCTATAAAAGTATTTGGGTAAAACCCTTAAAGATATTCATTGGTGCCTACAGCTAAGAAGTTATGGTTTTAAACATAAAGCAAAACCAGATATTTGTGCACCCAGTTTGACAGTTGCAACATCCTGCCATACCCTCCCCACTTTGAAATGTTGCTATGTCTGACACTTCTGGTCCAATTGAAAAAGATGTAGAGAAACTACTCATTAGATCTTTGCCCCTATTCCAGTCCTGAATGTTAAAATACTTGCCATTCCTCCCTGGGTCTCATGATCCATTCAAACCCAAACTGTCCTTTCCCTCCGCCTACCCCAACACCTGCCCCAGCCTTCTTAGTCTCTACCTGGATGTGTGGGGCCCCTATCCATCTGGATCCCAAACAAAATACCTCTCTGACAGCCCAGACGCACCCATTTCACACATCCAGGTCCAGCTCTGCAGGTTCTTCCTACTAAATGTCTTTGAACTCATCTCTCCTCCTTATAACCCTCCCTGACTGCCTGAAAATGGAAGCAGAATACATAGACCCCACAGAAGCTGAGAGCTAACTGAAGATGCATCTAAAAGGCTACTGAGACCTCATTGTTGGTGCCCCCAATGGGATCCAAAAGGCTGAATCCCTCAGGGTACCATCTCCTGACCCCTGACATTTAGCAAGACCTTTTTTCCTCCTGTCTGGAGCCTAGTTCCCTGGAAACAGACCAGAATTCACTAAACTGAGACCTGATTTCACATTCAAGTGGAGCTTGCTGGTCAGGGAAGAGGAGGATGAGGAGAGAGTAGAGTGACGGCTCCATCTCAGTCAGAGTCCCAGGGCTCTGCAGTTTGAACCCTCAGGGAATCTGGAATGTAGATGAGCCCAGAGGTGGGGGAGTTGGCTTTCACACCCACCCTCCAATCTGCCAATCACTGCACCAGAGAATTCCAAGGCACATCTACTCTCTGACCCTGCAGGAAATACAGGATCCCAAGGGAGGCTCTTGCAGAAGCAGCTCAGGGACTAACTCTAAGAAGCAAGAGCACACAAAGCTGTATTTTTTTTATCATATCTTTGATGTTTTAAAAGTTCTTTTTTTTTTCTTGTGGAATTGAACAGGTTATAGGGGCTGTGAGTGAGTGTTTATTTAAAAATATTATGTAATCATTTAGGCTGTTAAATCTGAGAAGAGAATGGGTGGTTATTTATGTCAAAATAAGGTTTTCTAACCTCTAATTATCAATTACTGCAAAGCCTGAGTGGCACAAAAATTCAGTTTTGCTAGTGATTTAAGAAAGTAGATATAAGAATTAGAATCTAAACATATCATAATACCTACAAATTGGGGTTCAGTAAAACAAGACCAACTACATAAAATAAACATGCAGTTTTCTCAGAAGCAGTTCTAAAATAGTATTGAAAAAATTAATGGGCTGGATTTTTGTGTCTGCTCCATGATTTTGAACTAACTGCGAGATCTTTAGCAAATTAGTGAACCTCCACTGTGTCCTAATGTTCTCACCTAAGAAGTGGAGGTAATAGTACCTGTCCTGGAGCGCTCATGTTGTTGAAGATTAAATGAGATACTGTATGTAAAGCATTCAGAATGTGCAAATATTAAAGCCATCTCTTCTGAATGAAGCCACTAAGTAAATGACAGATCTTGTTCATGTGATGAGGTGGTCATTAGTAGACAGAGGTGTTCTTATTAACAGGGTGGTCTCCTAACCATATCTCATGCCACAGGTCATTAGCTATGTGATAGGAATTTTATGTACCCTGGGCCTTCTAATCCTTAGAGTAGCCTGAAGATTTGGTACTATTATCTGTACATTTATGCAAACAGAAAGCCTGAAAAGTTAGATCATACAATAGATGGATTGACTATAATTCTAATTCAAATTTGACACTTTCAGACAAAAATCAAAAAATGTGTGCTTACTCAAGGGAGAAAAAAATACAACAGATAGGAAACACAAAACTAGGGCCTATTCAAGAAACCTGAAAAAAACTCATGAAGACAGACAACACCCATCAAAACTCCCATGATTGGCCAGGGGTGGTGGTGTGTGTCTCTTAATCCAACTCAGGAGCCTTAGGCAGGAGGACTGCAAGTTAGAGAATAGCCTCCACAACTTAGTGAGGTTCTCAGCAACACAAAATTTCATCTTAAAACAAACAAACAAAAGTTTAAAAGAGGTTTGGGAATGTAGCTCAAATGTAAAGCACCTTGGGTATAATCCCTAAGGGGGGGGGGGAACCTTTCATAGTTGCTGCCATAGAAAGGACCCAGTTTGTCCCAGAGGTGAGAGGTAAAGTCTCTGAGGTTGCAAAGGGCCAACATGGGTTAGAACAGAACTGAGAGTTTGGTGGTGATATAATGTCTATTTAAACCAAGGACTCTAATAATTCTATATCTTTTATGCAGTTATCAAAAAAAGTCAATATTGTCAAGTAGAGATTTAAATGTTGATATTAAAGCAATTTACTGATTCCAGCTAAAATTCTCAAGGCAGAGAATGAATCTGTTGAAAGCAAGGCCCCATGAAGCAAACACTGGAAATATTAAGTCTGAACACCAGGGTCAAATGAATTTCAGTGGCAGGAGAATAGCATCAATTACACATTAAAATGGATTTAGCATTATTAATGTGGAACACAGAGACCAGCCATTATTTACTTCAGTGGACTTAGGTAACCTCAGTTCCAGAGCACCCCAACTCTACCCAACTGGGGCTGCTATCCCCAGCCTGCCTTGCTCAGCATTCAGAGGCTGAACTGTTGATGCACTGAGTCTAACTCCAACAAGTCAAAGAAAGCCACTGCACAGATAACCAAGGCCTTGGCACCCAGTAACAGAAGTCCTGCTTCCTCACAGGTAACACGCTTGACCACAGGCTCCAGGGGGAGGTCACTCAGGCCTGGAGGATATGCCTGTTGAGCATTACTAGTATTGGCATTGGTGTCCAACCACATGACTTCCCATCCTTGGTTTGCCTGTCTATATGAAGGACCATCACAGAGGCCACATGAGAGCTCAGCATGGTGTGTGCAGAAGGCTCCGCCCTCAGTAAATACCAACTGTCCTGCTGCTAAAGCATCTGCCATTCCATACCCAATTTGTCCTCCCATTTTCTTGTTATTTCATCTTATTTTCCTTTCTTTCCACGTTACTAGGCTGAGAGTGAATGAAAAATGGCAAGTCCCATCAGAGGGTCGATTTTATAGTTTGTTCCTTTATTTTGGCATTGTCTAAAACACTCAGCAGCAAGTAGAATCCTTCAGCGAGTCCTGGGTGAATTAAAGAGGGTTGAGCATTACTAGTATTAGCATTTGTGATGTGTTTCTTTGTGCAGGGCCCCGTGCTAAGGGTTTTACATGCTTGAACTCATTTAATCTTCGCTAACAGTCCTGAAATGTAAGGACTCTGTGAATGAAATACATTTTTGATGAATTACAAGAATGCCATTGTCGTTACCATAGCAACAGAGGTCTGGAACTATAAATCCGATTTGAGAAGCCATAATCATTGTTGTCTCCTCTTCTCTGTCTCAGTTTTAACATGCTGCTGAAGGTGTTTATTTGAGAGATACATACCTGAGATATAAATACCTTCAACAATGTTAACTAATGAGACACACACACAGGAGATAGAATCACCTTCCATGATGTTAATGAATGTTGACTGACTCCCACAGGTGAACATGCATGTTCAAGAATCTAGACCCTCAAATACTGTTCAGCACTGTTTCATAAACTGAGTCACAGAGATCCAAGAAGCTTCTGCTGACTTTTTGGAGACATGCAAAAAGGAAAGAAAGTAAGTTGGAGTGCATTGGGGGAGTTTGGCTTTCATTCAATTATTAAATGATTTGAAGTATCAGTTTTGAGGAGAAAAAGCCTGATGTTCTCTAGAGGGTCCAGGCCTGTATGAGCCTTAGAGGCACCCTCAGCTTGCAGCCCCTCAGATTGATGCCCCCACTGCCAAGGCTTCTGCTAGGGATCTCTGGCATCTTAGAGTGGTTGCAGAAATCAATGGCACACAGCTGCCTCTACTTGGAGAGGAACTGCATTGGGAAAGGACACACAGGGATGCAGGCAGAGTTGCTGGACATAATGGCATCAGGTGGATTTGGTAGCTGTTGGTGGGAATGGTTTTCCCTTGATCAACAAATGTGTTAGGTGAAGTTCCTGTTATGTTCTGATGCTGGATCCTGCCACATCTCATCTGCCTCTGTGGACTGATTTCATGGCTCTTTAATAGTCATTTTATAAATTCAGTGAATGTAGAAATACCAAAAAGAGGATCTGGACCTTCATGGCAACAAAAGATATTATCCAGATGAAAGACTCCGAGCTGACTTTGTATCTGCCAAAGGTGGTTTTTCATGGAGAATTGCGTTTAAAATACAAGGGGATGATTTTGTCCTAATTATATTAATATATTGTGTGCAAGTGTGGATTAAGCCCACAATTATGTGCAGCTATAATGCACCAATAAAATATTAAGGATTAAAACATACCATAGAATCACTTCAATGCATATTTTTAAAACAGAGTAACTTTGGCTGTAGGATTCAATTTTCCAATTCTTTTTTCCTCTCTCAGGCTTTTTGACTTGTCAGAACAAACTTGGCCTCACTGCAGATCTATTGTCCTATATCTTTCAGAAAGAAGGGATTACATTGCAAAATATTGTTGTTTTAGCTATATTATGTCAAGGAAAATATTAAAGTGAAATGCATGACAGTATTATCGATTTAGCATTTGTAACAAACATTGTTACCTTTTATAGTTGTTATCACATTCTCCATTTGTGCGAAAGAACATTTTAGTGACGAATATTTATTACTCTATACTCCTAATTTTAGCTTTATATTTTGTCACAAATTTATGTCTAAGTATCCAATATGTGGATCAATAATACAAATCAAAGATCTACAGTAGTATCTTGTCTTTGGCATATGAAGCCCCTTATATGATTTCCCATTCATGAAAGACAAGGCAAAAATTGTGTGTCACAGGAAATAACTACTGCATATTAACAACCTTGTTCTGGTCAAGATGCAATCTGTAAAGGGAATATTTGGGTTTCTTAAAGTTTTTATCAGATAGCATTGTTAAATTGAAACAAAACATTGCAAAATGAGTTGAACTGAATCAAAATGTCAAATTAAGTAATTTTTAAATAAAAACACAAGGGGCATCTATAGATTTACTAGTAAGAAATAACAACTTGGTTACATTTTTTTTCTCTTTTTTTTCTTTTTTGGACACATGTTATATAGTCATCACAGCACTGTGTTTCTCTCCTGACATGAGAACATTTCATGATTTCATGTCATTACAGACTTTGAACAAGTGCTTGGTATTTTGTGGCCACCCTGTGATAGGCTATATTTAATCATTCATATATTGTTTAAATTTAATTATTACTATTATAAACACAGCTGATTAAGGATTTCATATGAGCTTAATTTATCTACATGTTTGGGGATTATTATATCTGAGAAAGATTCCCTGAGGTGAGGTTACTGAATCAAAGGGTATGAACATTTAAGATTCTTTCCAATTTGCTTTCTTAAAAGGTCTGCACATATTTATATTCATGCCAGCAATGTACTGAAATACTCCATTTTTAATTGTAAAATTTAAATAAAAGATATCATTACTTTTAATAGGAGTCCTATGAGCAGTTAGATGGTTCATTGCTACAACTGTGCTTGTTACTACATGAATGCAGGCATGAAGTGCTATGGTGATAAAGAAAAGGGAAAAGGTTAGAAACATTGAAAGATTTGAAACTTGAACCATTATAAATAAGCTTTATAAATAAAGAGGCTTGAATAGAAACAATATGTGCAACAACACAGAGAACTGGAAAAGCATTGGGGTGGCAGAAAAATTAAATTTCACTAGAACAAAAGATTCATTTATGGGATCATGCAGTGTGATGTTGAATTTTATAACCAACTTGAATGGGCCACAATGTGCCTAGATCATTGATCAAAAATTTTTCCATGTGTTTCTGTGAAGCTGTTGTAGAATGACAATAACATGTGAGTTGTAGACTGGGTAAGATTGCCCTTTCCAATGTGAGTGGACCACATCAAATCAGTTGAAGGCAGAGATGGAATAGGGGCCCTCCAGCTTGCAGATGGCACTTCTTGGGAATCAGCAACCTCCATAACATGAACCAATTATTACAATAATTTCCTTTCTCTATATATGAATTTTCTGTTGGTGCTATTTCTCTGCAGAACTCACTGCACAGCAAGTGTGAACCATTTTCTGCACATTTTCTGGTTGGCTCCATCTCCTTACTTTGTAATTAACTATTGGCATTCTATGCCTATGCATACTTCAGGACACTTAATAATGATTGATGTGAAATAAATTATACTTATTTTATACTATTTCTAAGAGATCCCACAATAGTCCACCAACTCCCCTCCCTAAAAATCCCAAGAGACAGCAATAGAAACAAAATTTTAATTAAGAATTTAAAGTGAAGAAATTCTGATGTTTTCTATATCAGAATTTATTATTTCTAACCCAATTAATTATGATTGAGTATAATTAGAATGTGTAGAACATGTATCTTCAGCCTCTGAATCAAAAAAGTAAGAAGTAGTAAGGAAAAAAAATAAGACAAATCTAGTGTGGATTAGTTATCTTCCTGATTTTATTTTATTGCCAAATGCCAGACTGGACATGGGTTTTCCAACAGTGTATCAGACTTCACCACAAAGGAGTCATTTGGTAGGTTTTTATTTGTATTGCATAGATTTTAAACAAACTAACTCTGAAAACCAATGTCATGGGAAACAAATATATTGATATTAAAGTCCAAAAGAGATAGAAATAGATCATTAATTAGGATAAAAAGATAAATGGAAAAAAAAAATACCGTTTCCGCTGTTGAATTGTCTGAAGGGGATTTCCGAAGAAATGGGCAGAGGGGTTGGCTGTTTCTGAAGACCTCCTGTAAGTGCCCTTCTCTGTGCTGGTATTTTCCCCAACTCCAAGGTTGGGGAATAGGGACAATAAAATACTATGGTAGCTTTATCTTCTGTTTGCCGCCTTTGCATGCCTGGCACCCCTGACATGGACCATCATCTCTCCATGGGTCAGGTGACAGGGGTTTCCACCAGTTGTTCACCACCTTGGGGGTGAAAGAGGAGAACTAAAATGACTCTGTAATCCAGCAAGAGCAATTTCTAACCTCTGCTGTGGTTTGTAAGATTTATTTAGCTGCTTCTGGTTTTCCATGTAGAATCTCCTTGAAACACTAAAAAGTTTCTTAACTTTTGCATAAATCAGGCCCAGAGTGTCCCTGGCCTCCCTTCCTTTTGTTCTGTCCTGTGGCTGAGGAGGAGGCCACTCAGGGTGCACACAGCCAGGGGCTCCCTTTGGCTGGAGAGCTGCTTTCCTGGACTCTATCAGGGCTATTAACCAGACTAGAGAAAGGCACTTCTCCAGCTCTTTATCCACAATGCAAATGGAGGAGGTCTATAAATAAAGTCTCAAAATCCACCAACCAAACTAAAAATCCCAGCATGTGTTGCTGCCTAATGTTCACTTACAGAAAAATAAAAACTGCAATTAGAAAAGCTGGAAGGAAATGGAATTCTAGCCCCCAAAACCCAACTGGCCAATTTCTAGCCACAGTGAGTGTGATCATTCATTGTTTTTTTTCCTGAGAACTAAAATTAAATCTGTTATTATTTCCCCACTTAATGGTTTAAGTTCAACAAATGGTTGTAAATATTTTAGCTTGCTAAAAGCTTTTTCTTAATAGGAGCTCATTCAAAATATAGGATAGTAATTAAAGAAAACGGCTGGTGTTTATGGTCTGATACCCTGACTATTAAAATGAGCTATGTATGAAAAAATGTATATCGTAAATGGTGATTATGGTTAGGGTGAGAATAATCTGTTTTTGAGCTAAATATAGATAATTTATATATTTTCTGTAATAGCACTTTCTAACTTGGATATTTGATATAATTCATAATACAAAGAAGCTGATAATACTACCGAAAGAATGTCATAAAAATTTTCCAGTTTCCATTTTCTACTGAAAAAAAAAATGTTGGTAATTATTTCAAGCTTTTTTTTTTTTCTGGCTTAAATTACTCTAAGAAAACCACTTCCTCTAAAGATGCATGATGAGGTGGTGCAGGCCACTGCTCCAGAAAAAAAAAAAAAATGTATCTGTGCAGAATTGCTAAAGAGTCAATTCTAACATTTTGTTTCTTTCTAAAAGTGCATAGCTTGTGCTTGTGCTATAACTGCAACAAGAATATGATTCCAAATTTTCAGGATAGCATTCTGTATGAAACATTACATCAGGTAAAACATCAGTTTATGAGGGACAATAAAAAAGTCAAATCCTTAAAGAGATTATACACTGATGCCAGAGAGCTATGTGACTTCAGATATTTTCTTATTATTTATTTGTACTACATCTGTTTTCAAATATTAGTTTAAGTGTGTTCACAAACAGAATAGAAACAAAGAACATTAAAAGAAGACTAAAGGATCTGGGTGAAGCAGTTGATCTCTGCAGACTCCTTGAGTGAGACTCTAACGCTAAATCATATCACCTCTTTGGACCCCACTTGCCTAAGAGAGGCAGGTTTATGAAGAAGAAAGATGCTGGGGAGAAATTGCAGGCCATTAGGTCACTAAATCCACCAGACATCAATTTTCTCCCCCGTCAGTAAGAAGGTCTCGAAGAGCTACAGGAAGACGGTGGGGACCAGGAGCAAGTCCGTGAACTTGCTGAAACATGGACAGACACCACGCAGCAGCACGGGGCTGGGGCATTGGAGCTAGCAGGACACCACTCTCTGCCTCAGGAAGTTCAGTTCAGCCCAAGAGGGAGGGGATAGAAGGACAGCCCTGCACAAGGAAGGTAACCTCTGAGGAAGGAGCTTGTGCAGTAAAAAGCCACAACTTGGAGCCACAGGGGGGTGGGGGTGGGGAAGCAGAGGCACCTCTGTCCACAAAGCAGAGCAGCAGAGACCCCCTCCCTAGTAGGTCACAGGGAACTCACCATGGTGTCCTGATGCTCCAGTCTGACGCCCTTTCTGTCCTCAACTCCACCCAGCCTTTGTCCTCTTCTCCTCCTACTTCCCTTCTAACCTGCCAAAGGCAAAAGTTTAGAAGCACCAAACTGAAAGCCACCTCAAAACCATCAGGCTCAGAAAAGCTTAAATTATTCGCAAGATTTCATGCTCTTGTCTCTCCCTAAGCAATCACATTGGTGTCTTCTCCCTAGATGGCTGGACAGCCTTGGTGGGAAGGGCAGGGCGGGTGGAGTCTGCTTGCTTTCTGGTAGACAATGAGTCTCCTGGATTGGCCTCTGTGCCCCTCAGAGCCTCAGTTTGCACAGTGCAAGTAAGGAGCGGGGTCTCGCTTTGAACGTCCTTGTGGGATTTCAATACAGTCATGGTGTTTTGTGTGTGTCTAACTTTAGTTCCATCATCCTTCAGGTCCTTGCACCCATGACTAAGAACAAGAACTCTGTAAAAACTCAGAGGTCATGATGACCCCCAACCCCACCCCCATCTAGTCCTACCTCAATCTAACCCTGAACTATTTTAATGGAGTCATTTCTCAATTCTCTCTTCAGCGCCGTTGGGATAATTTCAATCAAATATGGCCTCCTTCGTGGGCTCTCTGGGGTTTCTCCAAGCCCTTACTGTACTGATCCATCCATCGGCAATGACTCAACTATCCATGACGTTCAGTGGCCTCTGGGTAAAGCTGGGTGTTTTCTGTAGTTTTAGTTCTGTTTCTCTGTAAGCACCTTTGTGACCTAAAAATTTTTCCCTCAAATCAAATGCATTATTTTGTGGGTTTAAAACATCTCATTTCTGTGGAGTATATGTGATATAAGAGACTATCTTAATGAACTTTAAGTACTTCCTCACACTTAATGACTATATTCATTCATTCATTACCATCATTTTTAAGTAGTCAACAAATGTTTATTTACTACTATTGCTAAATAGTCAATAAATAGTTATTTTTATGCCAAGCTCTAACCAAGAAATAATATTGTGGTAGAAATTACAATAAACTATTAATTAGAATGGATTTTATATTGCTATATATCACCTCAATCTACCTACTTTGATCTGCCTATTATCTAACCATTCATGGACCTGCTGTCTCTAGCACTATATTATAAGCTTCTAAAAACTAGGAACAGAAACTGTACCCACCTCTTTACAACACAAGAATGTTTTCTTCTGGCTAGTAGTCAAAACACAAAGGTCATTTACCTGTTCTTTCATGGAAGTATCCGTGGAGCTATAAGATGCCATATGCATTTATGGACTTTAATTTCATTAGGATAAAATAAGAAATATTAACATTAACAAAGTGAATAGAAATGTCATAAAATATCAAATTAGTTCTCAATACAAAGGAATAAGCAAATGACAGTGATATACAGAGAGAGTGACACAGTCTTACCACATGAGGAGGTAGGCACTGAGCTGAGCACTAAGCAGGAAGGAAGAGCAGAAAGATGTGAAGATGAAGGCAGGTAGCACTGCAGCTGAGAAGACATGCAAAAGCCCAATAATCAGTGCACAAGGTGAATACATAGAGAAAGAGAAAGCCCCTGTGACCTCTCAGCAGGTTAGGAGAACAGAAGTGGAGAGAATTGTGGACAAGAATGGCATGTGGAGTGATCTATAGATGATGTGCTCCCTAACCCATCGGCCAAAAGATCTTTTGAAAATATTTCAGATGATAGAACTGATTGGCTCAAAATATTCAGTGCTTTAGCCTTTGGAAGAAAGTCCAAAACCTATGCAATAGCTGGACCATTGTCACAACCCTAGCACCTGCATATCTTCCTTAGCACATCCCTATGCTTCTCTTTTATTTCATCATCAAAAAACCTTCAGTGGCTTCGTCCACCTCCCCCTGCCATCTTTTCCCCATGTATACTCCTTTTCATGATCCTTTTCAAGGCTATGGTATATAGTAGGTGGTTATCTACTTATTTTTTTTACTCCTTTGCTCTTGCACTGTCATTCACCTCATGAGCTAGGACTCTATTTTGCACAAGATTGTACATAGGCCACATGGATAATGTTGGAAATATAATGGCCATGCAACAAATATGGGTTGGGTAAATTAATAATGAAAGAGTTGATGCATCTGGAGATCAAGTAAGAATTCTGGAAGCTACTTGATCAGTTTCAATAAGGATTATAGTGTCTTGGACTCAGACACTGGTAGTAAATAAGGAGAGGGCTGGGCACATTTGGTGGAATCAATTGGAAGTTTGTTTTTTTTAATATTTATTTTTTAGTGGTAGTTGGACACAATATCTTTAGTTTAATTATTTATCTTTATGTGGTGCTGAGGATCGAACTCAGAGCCTCACACACGTGAGGCAAGCGCTCTACCGCTGAGCCACAACCCCAGACCCTCAATTGGAAGTTTTAATGGAGCACATGCATGAAATAAAGGAAATTGAGGAATTCAGAAT